CTTGTAGGTTCAGATAGCCAACGCCCGTGATCGATTCACTGACTCTAATTGTCTATCCTACCGACTGCGCCAATTACGAAGGCTACGGCCGGAGGATGCAAAAAAATGCTAATTTAAATTTAAAAATACTTATTTATTACATAAAAATTACAAGTTAACTATTTCTAAGTGAGGTGACGGTTGCTCGAAGTGTGAGACAAGAGTGACGCTCGCTGCGATGCTTCGGACGGTCTCGGCGTCCAACACCTGTGTTGCGCAACCACTTCGTATCCGTGGGATTACGGGCGACGGCACGTAGCACGGAATAAGCAATCCCTTGAGAATGGAATGTGGAATGTTGTAGCTGGGTGGTTGCAGTGTAGGCGATTTCCGGGATGTATAATCGTGTAACAAGCATAAATACAGATCTTTATTTAATTGTACGGAATCCAAATTTGGAAAATAATTTATTTGTACTTTATTTCGTTTAAAGAATTTGAAACGACTAAATTGTTTAAAGGCTTCCCCCACATTCATTACGTAATAAGAATCTGGTATTAAAGCGAATCACTTTGTTCTGAATATAATGCTCTATGAACACAAGATTACTATATATTTTGATTATACTACATACCAAAGATGTTTAATAATATAGATGATACATGTCCATACTGCATGGCGTTTAAAAATTGTTTCGCTTTACTTTATCACTACATAGTTTAAAACATAGTCGTCCTGCTGTCTGTCTGTCTCTATGTATGCTTAGACCTTTAAAACTACGGATCTTGATGCGGTTTTTTTTAAGTAGATAGAGTGATTTAAAGTTTTTTATAGTGCTAATCTCTGCACTTAAGATTAAACATTAAAACTTGTAGAAAAAGTACGAAAAGATTGTCGCCGCTGTGGGAATCGAACCCACGTCTTCGGCATTCGCGGCCTTTTTGCTACAAGTTTTAATCTTTAATCTTAACTGCAGAGATTAGCATTATAAAAAAACTTAAAATTTCTAAAAAGCAATGGCGACACCTCTCGTTCGAAGTTATCGTTTACAACGATATTCGAAATTGTTTGTATGCCGAAAAGATATATTAATAGATGCGCCAAGCATGCTAAATGCTTCAAATGCTAAATAACAACAATGTAGATAAAAGACGTTAAGATTTTCGTCGGTGTGGCAATCAGCCGTTTAGCTAAGTGGCTAAAGCGTCAGGCTGCGAATGCCGAAGACTTGGGTAGCCCAGATTCACACAGGAGGTTCAGAACCTTCTGTGTGAATTTGGGCACCTTCAGAAAAGCCACCCTGTATAAGTGAATGTGACATGATACAGAACGTATGTTACGGAAAGAGATACAGTCTACAGAATTGCACCATGGTGTAATTCTGTAGACTGCTATATGCCATTACAATTGGTGTAATTTGAGTGGCTCAGTTTCGGTGCGCTAGTGTTATATCTATTGTATTTATATACAATATATGCATAATATATGAGCAATGATATTATTATCATTTCTGCATACTAAATCACTGAGCAGCAAACAGGTACTTCAGTTGAATCAGGACCGTGGACCATATGCTCTTTCTGCTTAAACCGTAAATTGCACACCAGGGTCTGTGCTGTATTTCAAAGTAAAAATTCCGTTATTGTTTCTTTCCTTACTTGTTTATGTATCTTTTAAATAATTACATTGAATAAGTACATTTTGAGTAACAAAAAACAAAACCGTCTTTAATTTTCTTACTCAACAGCACATTTTCTATTTGGTTTATAAGGAGTTCTCAGATTTATCTCCGGAGTCCAAGGTCCAATGAAATAAATAGAGCCAATTTACTTAACCATGGAGGCTAAACCGAACTTAATGCAAAAATATTTTTCTAACCGGTTCATAAATGACGGATATCCAAAAAAAATCAATAAACAGTTTTAAATGCTAAATTAGCAAAGACTGAATACAAATTTTTAAAAAATCCTATTTATTTATCTATGTAGAAAGAAACAAGTTACAAAACCATAAGTAAAAATAGTTAGTAGGTAATATAGTTTACAATACAAAACATTGTAACTAATATCAAAGTACAAAACATTAAAAATAGATTCCAAAATAAGCAGTGCTTATATCGTGGGAGCCAGAGTTGCGTCAGCCAGAGTCCGTTTGCTATAGGTGTACAGTTACATAGTTAATAATCATTGCTATGAACAACTACAGGGGTAATAAAAACAAGATCAACGTAGTAAATTGATAATAGTAGCTTAAAATAAAATGGAAATCACACATATTTTTCTGAATTGTACGTTTTGTGCTAGTGCGTGTGCATGCGTACGCGCGCGCGTGCGCTCGCAGTTGTGTGTGTGTGTGTGTGTGTGAAAGCAACCAGTGTTAACGCAACGGCGTATACATACTAAATAGGAAAGATCTTTGATATCAAATAGTTTTAACTATAATTATTAATTTTCTACATTAATTATTATATTTATGCAGTAAGAAGAATTGAACTAAAGCATTAAAAATATAAAAGCTTAAGTGTTATGTAATGTAAGTATCAAGTATTAACTGGAATGTGCTTAGATACGAAAATTAAGTGAAATAGGTAAATTGTAATGCTTGTTCAGTATATTGTCAGAAACACGGACGGTTGAGGTGCGGTTATAAATAAAAAAACCGGTTAGGATGGGTGTAACTCTTGATCTCGAATTAAAGAGAGCTCATTTCAAGCATGACCCCTATTCATTACAGGCATTTAAATTTCTTCTTTTTACATCATCCAATCCTTTTATTCACTCACACATTATTGAAGAAGCAGATGAGTTATCCATTCACAGTATTTTATTAATTTAATTAATGGAATGTCACAATTACTAACCTTTACTAAATATTTTAAAAAATCTCTCAAGCCAGAGACGCAATTCTAATATGTAGACGATAATAGTTCATACACATATATTATTAAATATATTTGGAAATATAATCGATCAACAAGTATTAGTTCAGGGGCGGTGTTGCCAGCGTTTGGATTTTACAAAAATTAAGTCACTGAATTATTTTGGGAAATAAACGTAGAAAATTAACTGCGTAATATTCAACACGTAATTTATATGTATATAATATGTAAATTGTACTATATTTTTAAACGAGTGACTGAGTTGACAGAATAACTATGTGAGTTATTCAACCAATTCGTATTCTTAGTTGGTATATGTATGTGTAAATGCAGTATTAATTTGAACTGATTTTGACTGTTAGAATTTTTTACTTACAATTTGTATTTAATCATTACATTTGTACATTGTATTAATAAAATGAAGGCCAGTCTTCAATATATTAAAATTTTTGTGGTTAATAAATATCATATATGACTCATCTTTTATTTCTTCTTATGAATAAATATATCTTATGTTTCTTCTTATGAATAAATATAGATTTATTCATAAGAATAAACAATTGAGTTAAAAGTTTTAAATCGTATGTGAGAGTAAATAGAATGAGAATACTCAACGAAAATGTAAATAGTCAAGACAAGTATGCGCAATCGTTTTAATAAATTTTATGACTCGACTTTAACGAATGTACCCTTTTTGTACAAAAAGAAGTAGAAATATTTAACAGAACACGAAGCAAAATTTCCGTATACAGAGGCAACACACACTTTACGCGGTACTAGTATCGTGAAATTTTCTGTGTAGTTTAACTCGAAGCAATGGGGTGCGCGCGTGGTTTATTTATCGTTATTTATTTAATATAACACGTGTAATATCTCGCACAATGATAACCCACGGTGAACATTTAAAAATTAATCTTTTCATGAGTTGTTTCATAATATTCGTAACAACTTTAAGTGCAGTGTACGCTCAGACCAAAAATGCCTCTTGTTGTTCTGTCGGACAGTTTATATATAAAAGTGTCAACAACAGCAAAGAGTGCTGGGATCCAATATCGAGAAAGAACTCATCACTCTCAGTTGCGTGCAAGACGACGGCTATGTTGACTGAAGAACTGTTTAACTTTACCTTGAACGACGCCGGCTATTTAGTTCTATCTATGTCCCATAACATTTTCGAGATGGAACCGGAAACGTAAGAATTGAATGTATTGGAGTTTTTATTTTTTTATTAGTATTCGAAACACCGTTTAAACATTATTAATAGCATATTATATCATAAAATGGTTTAGAAACGATTAGCAAGATCAAAAATTAATTTGTAAAGAAATTTAAAATTAATTTATTACTTTATATTATGGATGTTAAGAAATTCACTTGCTGTAAGCATAAAAAAGAAGAATAATAATAAGTCTATTAATGTTGATATTTAAGTCAGATGTTTTATTGACATATCCGGCCCCAAATTGGTGACCCCGACGTGATGGGACAGTTTAATATATGTAATGCTAGCTAAGCTACATTAAAAAAAAAAAAGCCAACAAACGTTTTCAAATTCATTTTCCTACGGTCTATAGTTTTCAATAGTTGATAAAATATATTTTTACTATCTATTCATAAAATTTTTGGGCTTTTTGTAAATTCCATATTTTTTGGGTTACAGCAAATAAGGGTAATTGTTAAGATTACACGTTCGACGGCACGTTCGTTTTTTCACAAAAAATAAATAAAAACATGAGTTCCCTATAAAAATTATTGTCAATGACCATAATGTTGTACACAACATAATGGTGGATTTTTATAGCGTTAAATTTAGTTTAAAGTAAAAATAAAAATTTATTATTTTCTTATAGTTTATTTTTTTATTTCTGTTTTATTCCGATTATATTTATCTATCGATAATAATTGCAAGCTAAAATCGCACTTGTCTCTAAAGTAAACAATTATCCAAATAAATTTTCTTACGCTGAGGTGCGGGTAAATATATTACGTAAGCTGACAACACAAACAAGCGCGCGGCGCGTCGAAACAGTGTCGAAACGTTACGCAGCCATGATGCGTGCGCGCGCGTTCTTGTGAGAAAGCGTTCTAGTTGATTTTATTCGAAACAAATTTTGAACGAATGATGTGGTGAAAATTTTAAAAAATGATCAAATCGAACATTTTGTTTGTGCTCGCACTAAGTGCGGTGCACGCTGTGACGTACGATGGTTACTGCTGTCCGCCGGGATGGTTCATAATGAATGGCATGAATGACAGCAGGCTGTGCTGGGAGCCCGCGTCGGGCGAAAACACATCGCTGACATTGGCGTGCGAAATGCATGGAATAATATCGGGGAGCATATACAGCTTCGAAGTGAACGATGCGGGCTCTTTAGCCGTGAACGTGCGTAATCATAAAATTGAAGTAGCGCCGGGAAAGTAAGGATGCTTTTACTGTCGACAAGAATACTCAAATACATTAGGTATTACATTAAATAGCTGTGTACGGTTTTGTAAATTGTTCGAATCGGTAGATCATCGGTTTGGTATCTTTAAAATTATTGGTTGAAAAACGTACATGTCCCTTGTGTAAACAATTATCAAGGTGTTATTGATTATTTGTCCAGTGGTCGAAAATCGACATTAGTTATTACTAGTTGACCCGTGCGGAATTATCGAACCGCACAGAAATAGAACATCATGTTTTAATATGTATTTATAAATAATGTATCTTATCTTGAAGAATAGCAGTAACTTCCAGTCTATGTAGCTATCTTTCATTTATATGTTAATAGATGGCATTGCCATACACTCTGGACCTTTTAAAGGAATGTTTTTTATGAAAACTAACTATTCTATTTGTCTATTTTTCTTCTATTTTTGAATTTATGCCGTACCGACAAAACACCTTTGAGGAATTAATGTAGAGATTAAAAATTTATATTCTGTCGCCAAATAATTTTAAATGAGGATCACTCAAGTTGTAGCAAATTCCATAAAACTTGTATCCACATTATTCTTTATGACATATATGACATATATAGTCTATATGTCTTTTATTTATTGAATTATCCAAATCGGACCATTACTTACGAATATACTAGTTTAAGAAACATTCGCCGTTCCTGTTGCTAAAAGTCAATGTACGCGGTGACGTCACTGTGCTGGTCGCCGCTAGTTAGCCGTTGGCGACTATAAAGGCCGGTATCCACCAAAGCGGAGAAGAGAGGAGACTAGAGATGTGCTGCGAAGTTGGCACGTAATTTCCACCAAAGCAGAGAGGAGATGCGTAGCGGAGAAGAGATGTGAGCTGTGCGTAGTAGAGATGTGAGCTGTGAAAGCTCGAAATCAGTCAAGTGCTATCTACGATAGGAAGGCGCCATGTCGTTAAAAATGTTTTATATTAATTTGCTTAAAGATGAGGAATTAGAAGTTCAAGAAACATAATAATTTGTCAATATTTAAACTATCGACGGAAACATAGAATCTGGATAAGAAACCATATAAAGTGTCACATTCGGACGAACCAACTCTTGCATTCAAAGTCAATCGACTTGTATCTTGTATCAACTGATGTTTGTGCTTTCAGTCCAGGGACTATTAAAGCTTCATCTGACGCAGAACCGATGGGCTAGCCAGAACCCACGAGTTTGGGCCCTCCGCTGTGGGTAGGGCCGCGCATGTGCTCATGCGTGCGTTTAACTACGGCATGTCATCTAAGGGCCATCGAAGTAGCGGTGCGGACCGAGACCCCGATGGCCGTCGACTGTGTTTTTAGCTAATCGGTGGCTGGGGGCGGTGAGAACCGCCCTGGAACGCGGGTGTACCTTGTGTACGCGTTGTGTTGGTCTCGCCGTGTTCGGAGGCGGGGGCGAACTAATGTGTTTGTTGCTACACTAACTGTGTGTGTAGTGTTATCCGGCGGGACCCCCGACGGTGGGTCCGACGTACCTAAGTCCCCTTCCTCGACCGGGTCGATGAGGACGTTTCGCGGGCGACGCTTGTTGACGCTCGCGTTTAGATCGGGTTGGTAATTTGCTGCGCTTACCACCAGAGGGTTGGGATGATGTTCGGCTCTATCGAAGAACCGTTTGGTCAGGTCTTTGAAAAATTCGCGAATCATCGGGAGTCTGCAATCGCTGTGCAGGTCGACGTTGCGTTGATACCACTGCGCACCGGTTGCGCGGCGGATGAACTTATTTTGCACTACTTGCAACTTGTGCAAGCGAGTAGGGTGCGTGTGGGCGAAAATCATGCATGCGTAGGACATGATTGGCCGTACGCAAGCTTTGTATAAAAGTAATTTGTGTCTTAAGGACATTTTACTTGACTGGTTAGTTAAAGTGCTTAGCCGGCCGGAGACGAACGCGGCTCTGTTACGGACGTTATTAATATGCGCTGTGAATGACATACGCGAGTCGAAAGTGACTCCTAAATATTTTACCTTTTTCTCCCAGGGGAGCGGTTGGCCATAAAGAGATATTTGCCCTAGCTTTCTGCATTGGCTTTCTGCATTTGCACGACCTTTATAAAGATGAGACGGGTAAGTACTTCGTGTGAAGTGAATCGCCACACTCTTTTCGGGATTTACTTCAATTCTCCATTTGCGGAACCAATCGCCGAGGCGGTTGGCGGCGCTTTGGAGTCGAGTGGTTAGTTGACTAAGGTTGCGGTCTGAATAAAAGAGCGCCGTGTCATCCGCGAAAAGCGCGAGATTGACGTGGGGGTCTTTTGGTATATCGCTCGTGTAGAGCGTAAAAAGTAAGAAGTAAGGGTGAGAGGCAGAAAGTCAATCGATTGACGCTTTCTGGTGTGCGCACGCCCGACTATTCACGTCTCTGCTGTGCAGCGCTGCTTGCTCGTTCGACAGAAAATTCTATAGAAAAATGAGACAACTCCTCTCATCTCCGCATGATCTATTTCCACAGAAGCTAAGGAGATAGAAGATGAGGAAATAACGAATTCTGATTAGTTATTCTAACACATCTCCTCTCCTCTCCTCTTTGGTGGATATCGGGCCTAAGGCGCGTAGTGTTTTTTTACGTTAGATATGACTTTGAAACCAATTAAATGTCCGATTTGTGTCTAATTCACCTTTTTTTACAATGTATGAATATTTTTATAGTGCTGAAATGTACAAACACTTGTCTTAAAACGTCAGAAAAACTATTTTTAACGTGCCAAAAGACGTGAGTGAGGTAGCCGGGGCCCACTTTATTTAAAGATGGCAACGCATCTGCAACCCTACGGGTGTTGCAGGTGACCATGGGCGGCGGATATCACTTAAAATAAGGTGAACCGCCAGCTCGTTCAAATATAACTCCACCCTGTGGCTACAAGACAGTGTGGTAGGGACACGCAATAGTTTTCATTGCGTGACCCTTTCCCGGTCCGTCATTTTCACGTTAAACGAATGAGCATGTCCATCCGGGGAAGTAACACGACCTCACAGAAGACTGGAGTGAGGTGGAAGTGTTACACTTCTAGTGTAAACTTCTGCGTTTCGTCGGCTGATTGTGGTCGGGTCTTCTATGTCCTCACAGAAGACCTGATGTGGAAGTTTCCTCATGCTACTTCCCAGGACGGACCTGCGCATTCGTGCGTATGTGGCTCTACCACAGCAAATAAAATGATATACATAGATATGGAAAATTACGTTTTTAAGTTTAAATTGGTTGGAGGAAAGCTAAAACTGAAGAAAGGAGTTTGCCTTATAAGTTTAATTTTCAAAAGCCTAAAAAAAGTGACAATCCCATAATTTAATAAAAGACCGCGTAATTTAAGAAGAGAGTATAGAATATTTTGAAAGAGTGTTTACGTAAATATATTGGACGCAAAGACCTGTTGTTGCATTCCATTGAAATGTTATTTATGCTTAATGATTTTAGTTGCATTGCCACATTTTAATAAAGTGGGCCCCGGTACCACACTTCGACTTCACGCCGGTTTTCTGTAAGGTCGTGCTACTTCCCCGGACAGATCTTTTTTATGTAAACGTGAGGGAAATGCCCACGCATACCCGCCCTCTAACGGGGGCAAGGGCGGGTTATGTCGGACTAACCAAATAAAACCCCCACGATCTTCCACCTAGGCGCATATCGGCAGGCCCACGGGAACGCTTTCGCACACTTCTACGAACCTGCCGGCGCTGGCCGCCTCAACAACCACTTCTCGGGGAATTCCCCTATCCTCTAGGTAAGGCTCGCTGGAATATTCAGCACGCCTTCCTACTCAGCTCCTTTTTCACGGCCAACGAACTCCCTCATGCTCGCTGGCCAGTAGCCATTGGAGCCAGGAGAGCCAATGCTAAGCAAGACTCCCAGCTCCCAGCGCCTGACCTGGTCTGTGACTCTGCCGCTCTGGCCGCGGAGGATAGGGAGAACGGCGCAACGCAATACCGACACTCCTCTCCTCCCGTGACTCCACCTCGGTATCTGAAGAGAAGGAGAGTGGATCTTCCTCTAACAACCTCGACGTGTCGCCTGCGCGCTCCAGCACGCATCTAGAGTGGAGTTTTATCCTCTCTTTTTATAACGAAATACCATTTTTTTTACGAAGTTTTGGGTGTTTCGGCACGTTAAAAATATTTTTTCTGGCGTTTTAAGAGAAGTGTTTGTACATTTCAGCGTTGTAAAAATATTCATACATTGTAAAAAAGGTGAATTAGACACAAATCGGATTAATTGGTTTCCAAGTCGCAATTAACCCAAGAAAGCACTTCGCAAACGTAAAGCGTAAACGTAAAGTTAGCTTAGCGCGCTGGCGGCGACCGTCACAGCTAACGTTGCGGCCACTCCTTGAATTTGGGTGAAATTTTTTCACTGTATGGTAAGGATTTCTTATCTCTATAAATCTGTATTCTTTACTAAAACGTTATTAATCCTCATTGTCGAACTGACAATGAACCTGAAAGAAATAATAAATTACTAATTTCATCATAAATTTATAATTTCTGCCAATGGGCGAATACCTAATATTATAGATCAATCTGCTAAGTTTAAATCCACCAAAAAAACGATCGATAACTAATTTCAAAATCAATGAGATTGATGCTATGTTCGGAATCATCGACTTTGCTCCTGTATTTTTTTTGTTGCTGTCAGGAACATGCAGACTACTTGGATATAATGCTTGCCTATGATACTCACTGCATAATAATATTAATGACGATGTATGTTGTTGATGAAAATTTGTTTTTCTCACCAAAAATACTATTTTTATTTTATTTTATTTGAAAAGGACACCAGCAGTACATATCTACAATAAACATTTAAGTAGTAAGATATATACTAAAAATCTGATGCATGTACCTGATTAGGTGACACAGCATTGTTACAGGGTTAACTAGACTGAACCAAAATAAATGTAAAAATATTTAAAAAAAAAAAAACAAATTAATTGCAGAAAAAAATTAAAAAGAAAGAAAAACAGACAAAAATATACATTAAAAATACAGAATAAATACAACAATCTAAATTAAAACTAAAATTATCAGGAATTAAAATATTAACAGACGTGATTTGAAATAATTTTCTTATATTTATTAAGACTTAAATGGAATAGATCTATACTGGGTAGTGCTTCACAGATAGTGTTGTAAGAATTGCAGAATCGTGTAACGGGAGCATGCAAACCCAAGTTAAATAGGTACTATCACGTCGAATAGGTCCTTTACTTGTAGAATCCATAGATGCCGTACGGTATTCTAGCTTCTTAATTTAAAAACCAATCAAATATCAAATATGAAAACTTTAGCGCTCATATCATTATCTTGTGCCTAAGACTGTCCGATGTTAAATCAAAGGTCCCTATTATGTCACGTAGACGTCTTGCATATTTTCTAGTTTTTGTTTGACTCCCTGCTTACCTAACGTATGTTTGAATAAATTTGTTTTAGCCATTTAGTGTGACAGTACTAAAACTAATTTATAATTATAATATTAAAAATAATAAAAATACACGTCTAGTTTACAAGCAGTACATACATTAGTCAAAATAAAGCAAACCAAAGTAAAATAAAACTCTCAATCAAGTTTCATGAAAACTTTTTCAAAATATAGTTTCACATGAATGGGCCCAAGTAAAACAAAGAGTTATGTATGTGTATGTCCACTTACGGAAAGGCAAAATAAGAGTCACGGTCGTTTTAAACGATCCACTCGATTTTCATCTCTTAGACCCAAAACTTAGGTGGACCCTCATTGTTGTCACTGACATTGGCAATCTGCAGGTCATAGTCGACACTGTACGAGAGGTTTAAATTATAAACAATTTTTTTCATTTTTTTTTTCAGATTTTGTATCGGAAACTTCACTTTGAGCATAAATGACTCATCCGTTTCCAATGCATCCAGAGCGGCGGTCATCTGCGCCGATGAGGAGGAATCTATGGTTGATAACAAAGTAATGGCCTACTGCATGATAGTTTCGGTCGTTTTCCTGAAGCTCACCGCGATTATCTACATAATACTCCCTGAAGTCAGGTAATAAAAATCGCGGTCTGCCCTCACAGAAAGCTATAAACCACCAGTTACGTAGAATCCATTTAATTTGTGTGTCAAGCGAGGCATATTAATTACAATGCTCATTGACTGTACTTCGCAAATTACCGAAATGATTACTCGTTAACATCCCTCAATGGATGCGTACCTAAGTCAAGCTTTTCTCGGGCTTGATTCGCGATCTCGTAACATAAATTAATTCTACCCGCAACCAGACTGCGTAGAATAACTAATTCTTTTATGGGACAATGTATACGTTTTTACAACAAAATTCCAGAAAACGATCACAATGTATCAATTTGTAAACATTTCTTTATTCGATAAACAATGGTATAAAAAAATAGGACTCTCGCTGAGTTTCTTTCGCCGGTTCTTCTCAGGTCAGTGGCTTTTCTTTCCGAACCGGTGGTAGCGTTTTGACAATCAATAAGAAAGTGTTATGCTTCTATATTGAATAAAAGATATTTTTGAAATGAAGTCTTAAAAAATACTTAATTTTTTATACCAAGTTAGCAAATGAGAGTTAGATTGAGGAAAGTGTGTTTGTATTTTTGTTTACAAGCGAATGTTTAATTGTTTATTACAGTAAAAATTAATGTAACTGTTAGGCCCACGTAAAAGTTCGCTGTTGAACGAATGGGCAGGTCCATCCGGGGAAGTACCACGACCTTACAGAAGCCTGCGTGAAGTGAAAGTGTTATACTTCTGCGTCTGGTGAGTGAGGTGGTGGGGGCTCACTTTATTAAAAGGCGGCAACACATCTACGGGTGTTGCAAATGTCTATGGGCGGCGGTTATCACTTAACATTAGGTGAACCGATAGCGCGCTTGCCACCTTCTCTCTCACTCTCTCTTCGCTCTCCTTCTTACATAAAAAAAATTACCAATCGAAATGCATGCAATCAAAGCGCTTGCTATTTATATTAGCACTCCTAAAATCCATACCCAATCGTTGCATTCACAATGCCTAAAAAAAATATTAACTAACTGTTCTTAACTATTTCCAGGGATCTACACGGGAAAAGCGTAATTAACTTCTGCATATCGTTGGCGTTAGGTCTGCTTTGTCTGGCTATCATGAACCTCATCTCCTCGTACTCCGACATGAATCTTTGTGCAGCTCGAGGTACTTATGCTGCAACTAAACGGTATTGGCGTATTAAAAGGTCGTCTAACCAGTCCTTTGAACTTTTCAGGCTTCCTGACCTACTTCTTTCTGATCGTAAGCTTCTTCTGGACTAACGCGATCTCCATTCAGATACTACGCTGTATGAGGTACATGGTACAAAATAGTCCCGTTGTTTTGTATATAGTTAGTTATCATTCAAGATGTTCATATTCCCTTCGTAATGTTTCAGGCGCCCTTTCATAATTGACTACGGTTGGAGAGAGTTTGCGTGGTATGCGCTGTACGCTTGGGGAATGGGCGCGTTGATCACTATAGCAATGGCGATTGTTAATTTTCACCCGGGCGATCATCCGAAACCAGGGATTGGACTGAACCATTGTTGGTTTTTCGGTATGTTATAGAAACTATCAATTTAGCGTGTTTTAATCGTAATGGATAAGCGAAATACCTTTTTGGTGCATACATTTTTACAATTCTAATGTTATTTCTTTTTTTCCTGTAATGTAATGCGCCGACTAATATTTCTTTCTTTCTTCTTTAAATAAAAAACTTTGCATGCTAGTTTTAGCCGAAAAGTAAATATAACTGTATTACTGCGAATTTGATACTAAAAATCTATAAATATTGCTATAAAATCATGTAAGGTAAAATAGGAAATAACAATTTAATTATTAAAATGAATTAATAAATTAATTTTAATAAACTATTATTTAGCAAACTATAAATCATGAAAAAAGTAATGCTATTTGGCTTTTACGTTTGCGTGTCAATTTAAAAAGGTTTACATATAAGGTAGTTTTATTGTTAGTAATAGTTTAAAATTGTGCATTTTGATATCACATACCTACTGAAATCTACATTAAACATTATATAAGCTTAATTATCATCGAATTTTAATTTTTTTTTTCAGACAAGAAACAGCAATGGTACTACATGTACAGTGTCATGACTATACTCATAACAGCCAATATTTGCATATTCGTTTACACGTCCATTCTTCTATGGCGTCATAGTTTCGCCTCTAGCCACATCAAGGCGTTAAAATACAAGTAAGTACATATTGAACATCCGTTTCGTATATTTGCAAAGATAAACGCCAAAAATACCTCTAATAACCAATTAAATTAAATAAAATGTCTTTCTGTATAAATATAAATTAAAAAATGTTAATCTGAACATAACCAAATAATTATTGGAGGTAAATAGATACTGAAAATGAAGTAATTTTACACCTTTTATTCCGTACGAATATTGATTGATTCACGAATATTGATTCCGTTCAGTTCGCATAGTACAGTCGATTGGGTACCACGCGTTACTATTTTTTTCAGTTATAAATAGCGCCGTCTGATTCGTGGGAATGATCTCGAATTTGAGATTAGCTCTTGTAATGATTCTTCGGAATGGCGGATACTTGGTGTAATTCGACGGATTTTCTAATACGTGCAACGGTAACATAGCATGTGATATGGTGTAGACTGTACATACACATGCAAAAAGGTGTATGTAATTTTTTGGCATAGGCATAGCTTTTATTGAAGATAAGAATCTTTAAAGTGCATAGGGTAGATAAATCTGCAATCTTTGCACTATTCTTTAAGCGTATTTAGATAAGAAGAGTTTTATCATAACTGTATTATACAATTAAGTTCTAGTATTTTTTTAAATTATTATTATGGTTTTAACGGTTTGGGATTTCTTTAGTCAGCCTGTTTTTTTATTATTTTTTTTAGATTTTTCAATAATTAGTCTGCATTGACAGCTAATTTTTCAATACCGTTCTTATTCTTGTAATATGGATCATTGACAACAAAAAATTGTAAAGAATTAAAATTTGTAGAAAAAGTACGAAAGTATGTGTGTGAAATTCGTGTGTTTTATTTTATTCAAATGTAGAGATGTTACTATTATTATGTACAAAAAAAAACATTAATGTTTGAAACGTTCATTATACCATATTTTCAGATTCGTCATGACCATCAGGCTGTTTATTATCATGGGCGTGCCTTGGATATTCGAAATGATCGGTTCGTTAATGGAAGAGAGCATCATATGGTCAGTAAATAAAGTATGATATTAACGTATAAAGCGAAATTGACACACAAGGGAATGCACAGATAACTTAAATGTTGATAATTACATGCGCCTAGCTCATCTATTTGGGATAAGCGCCGTTGGATGATGGACGATGATGAAATTCGTTACCTGTTTTAGTATAATTTGAATCACATCAGGTATTTATTGTTCACGTCTGTTGAACGCCAATGTATGCTAACTATTCAACGTTGTCTCATCGGTTGAATTGTTAGCACACATTGAGAGATTTGCAAAAATTACCAACTCGCATTTGACACTTTTTTCTTTTTTTTTCTCATTTTACAATCAATGCACCTACTTAAACTTCTCTGGACCAACCAAAGGTTGACTGGTAGATAATGCTGATGGCTTAAGTCCGCCTCTGTACATATTTTGTGTGCATAGAGTATAAGTAAATAAAAATAAATAAAATACCCAAAACAGACTAGTTTACCTATATTTTGTTAATCCTAACATGGGAACAGCGACGCGGACCGCCATACGCACGCAGAAATGACGTTTGCCCAAGTTATGATAAGGCTTATCGCCATGTTATCGAATATGACTGGGCAACACCTGCTATTTATAGGGAACAGACTTTGCACGTACTATCAGTTATGGCGTCAGCAAACATCTGTCAGTGAGCGCAGGCGTTTCCGGGCGTCAAAAGTAAATGAGTTTCATTAAAGTAGTTCACCTAAAATTATGTTAGAATGGAAGGAAACGACGCTTATATACGCAAATTTTTGACCACTTAATAGTCTTATTATAAGATATATTATATAAATATTATTTTTAGCCCTCATCATTAATTGAAACTGTTACTCGACCTTCAATTACTAACACTAAAGACCGAAAAATAACAGCGTTCGCAGCCTAGAATGGAGTTAATCTAAAAACGAAGAAATATCATCCCATCCAGCAATTGTTTCTGCATCCAAAACTTCGTATATCAGAACCTTGCCTTAGCGCAAGCAAGATGGTTTATATTACGAGCAAAATACTCTCAAATGTGTACATTTGTTATAACATCGTTGTTACGGATATCGCCCAGACAGCGATCACTTCAAGCTCGGCCCCGCATTTTTCAGGGTCATCATGGACTTCGTGAACATACTGCAGGGGCCGCTGGTGTTCTTGCTGCTGGTCGTGTTCCGCCGTCGGGTGGTGAAGGCGCTGCACAGGCGGGGCTTCCTCGAGTGCATCTCCGACCGCGTGGAGAAATACCTCGCGGTGGGCGACGACGCGGAGGAGAACGCGATACAGCACACCATGGACGTGCCAATGGACGAGAAGAGCGCCATCTAACGACAAGCGCTTGCTTCGAATGACCCTACGATCGGCGACACCACAAAAGATTCGACGGACAAAATGTTGTCACGCAAGCCCACCGGCTGACAGTGCAAGAGTTTCGAGGCGAATGCAACTTCAGAATTGGATTCGGCGATCAGTTAGTATATTGGAACTGATAACAAAGCCGGTATCCGAATGGAATTGTGAAGAATAAATAATACAGATTATGAAATAACTAAATAGTTTATATAACCCAAGAGATTGTAACTGCTTTCTGACCTCAAATGCGAACGATGTTCTTATTTCTTTACAATAATATCGGATGTGATTTATTTGACTTAATTTTAAATGTTAACATCTCATCGAAGATCTAAATAAGATTTTTATTTATGAAACTTTTATACCGCAATTTTTAATTCACAACCAAGAGCTATTATTTTCCTTACATAATTTTTGAAATACTTGTCTTGTCGTTTGTTTTTAAGTACTTAACAAAAGTACTTAGTTTGTATACGTTCACAGAAATATATAAATGTAATATAAAGAAAAAGGTTAAATGTGTAATTCTATCAAGTAAGTAAGAATCTAATATTAATTAGGGGCACAATTAAAAAATGTCATTTATTTTATAAATTTTCTACTAATAAACTTTTTTTTAAATATATCGTCTTTATTATCGCATATACAGGAAAATTAGGAAAAGCAATAAAAGAAATATGTATAAAAAATAGTTTAAAAACAATGTTTAGGCACACATTGCACTTTTAACACAATCTAGATAATACTAGTTATAGATGTATATTGACAAAAAGAATGAATAGTTTCGCAGAAAGAAGAAAAAAAAACGCAAGGTAATTGTTTACAAAAAAGAGTGCAATGACTATTGAAATTTGAATAAAAACGAGTCCAGGAAGCAGAGTCACGACATTGGGAAGACCACTATTAGGAGTAAAGGGGATTGAGATTATCGTCACAATCTCCGATACTTTATGTTGCATCATAGTTGTTTTGTTACTTTTTCTTTTAGTCCTAATAAATTTTAAATTTCTCAATTTATGGGTTGGTTCTATAGTCTTATTTATTCTTATTTTTGTTGTATATTGCGACTTTGTCATATCCCATACATCTTAAGACAACCACAAGCATCATACGACCTGATCTGACCTGTTTATACTAAAGTACTAGACAAAAAACTAGAAGGATAACCTTATTTGTAGGGTTAGGTAAGGTTTTGTTGTGTTAGGTTTCCTTCTAAGGTTATCCTTCTAGTTTCTCGTGTAAGGGGTTTAATATATTAATTATTATTTATTATTATACATACACTATGATTTGATTTTTTTTTATTTTAAATTAACATAGCTCTTACTGTAGGATAACAATTATCCTGTGTTGTAAGACGTTTGTGTGACATTTTATATACACAAATTTCACGCGGACAAACACCCAGAAGCGAAACAACTATCTACGGGTCACACAAATAGTTGTCCCGTGTGGGAATTGAACCCACGACCCCCGACGCCGAAGCCTTAGCAACTGCGCCACGGAGTCATCATAACTATAAATAGGTACTACAAACATGATCTACTAAAACAGTATTTGTAAATAAAAATGTTTACTTTTTGCGTTATGTACATACGTAGTACCTGGAGGACCGGTTGCTCGGTTTGTTTTTTTTTTTGGAAAATCGTATATTTTGGAAATTACATTTGGATACAAATTACTAAGTAATGAAATATGCATAATATTTTTCGATCTTACCGACGTAATAATAAGAAAATATGAACTGGTGTTTTTCACAAAAGAAAGAACTTTAAAAAAAAGGGAAAAAGATAACAAAATAACAAATCGACAAAAAATTAAAAATTAAAAGCAATGATCTGGAATCGAAAAAAAAGTAAAAAAATAAATGTGTAAATGATCGTGATACGAACCACGGCCTTCTGTTTCGTGGCTGTTTATTAGCGGCCGCCCGATTACCGACCGAGCTATTATAACATTTTTTTTTTTCGGTGAAATTTACGGTCGTATTCGAATAATATTTTTCATTCCCTGAAAACAGGGATAAAAGGACATTTTCTGAAAATAGCTAGATCTAACCTAGCTAGATCTATTTTTCGCCCCCGAATCTACGCATATTCTAGAATTCATGAAAATCGCTGGAGTTTCCGAGATTCCGATTATATATATATATATACAAGAATTGCTCGTTTAAAGGATAAGATTTGACTATTAAGATAAAAGATAGGTGAATACAAAAAATAAAATTGATCTAATTTTGCTCCGGTGCTGGATGCTTGTTTCAAAGGAGATGACGTCGGCTACTCCTATAGTGTGACCTTAGACATTCGACAGGAACATACATGGTTTATCGGTCTTTTGTTATAAGATTTCATTAAAGTTCCATATTGTTAACTTATATATCGGTAATTAAAGAGAAAGCGCGTCTGCCACTGAACACAGCTAGGTAGTGCCGGATTAAACACGTAGCTAGAGTAGCAATTGCTGCGGGCCCCGCGCCAAGGGGGGCCCCGCATATTTAAACGCACTCATCTCAGTCTGAGCCTTATTTGAGTGAAACTTATTAAATCACTAAGAGTAATTGTTCTTACCACTTTATACCTAAGACTAAGTACCCATAGCAGATCAAGGGGTATTTGAATGAATTTGCTACAGGCCCCGCGCTTGCTTAATGCGGCACTAATTCTGTGTTTGTACCCTGTACCCAAAATAATAAATGAAACTGAAAAATGGGCGTGAATGGGAGTGAAAGTAAAATTATTGTTTAAATGCGGTCATTAACATTAAGCATTAAGGAGTCTGAATGACTGGTCACGAAATTTTCAAATTAGAAAAGTTTAACATGAAAGAGATAGTTTTAAGATAGATCGATATAACAATATATCGGTAATTTGGTTACGTGGATACGTTGGATGAAGTAAGGTTATACATATAATACCTACCATGCGAAAGTCAGTTGTAAAATTGATAAGCCATATATTGCAATATTGACGGACAACCTCGACAATATTGGGAATTAACTTATTATAAGGGCCTAAAAGAATCCGTAAGCGTTGCCGTCTATTGATATGTATGGATAAGGAGGAACGACAGGAATTATCTCGGCTTCTGTGGGTTCCAGAAGTATTTGACAGTGCCATCGTTCCTTGTTGGAGAGAAAATGGATTTATCTAGCATAATGCTTAAAACATTTCATATAACTGCGTGTAGATGTCGCTAATTTAAATCGTTTGACTCCATGTAGATGGTGCTTTTTAGGTTTTGTGGTAAGTTAAAATATCACAAAAGAAATTAAAATATTATTTTAGCTACATGGAATTAATAGGTAGAACTAAATCATATCATAGTTATCTTTACTAATTTGATAAAAGATTTTTTTTATAAGGACTATGTTTTTTGATTGTTTATTTTTCCGTATTTATTGTTTATTTATACGTAAGTAATCGATAAGCAACTTAATCAATTTATAAATTCATTCAGTAACTAATTGAAAAATTTATAATGAAACATGTAACATGGTGTTAAAGATAAATAGATCTCGTGGAAACTATTATTTTTTTATTTAGTTTGCAAATTTTTAATCAAACCGGACAGTATCGAGATAGATAGTAGGTATATAAAAAGCTTATTATAAGGAATAAAAAGACTGATGAGTGAAAAATGAAGGAATACAGCTTATTCAGTTCGTATAAATTCAGGGGGGAAAAAACTAATAAATAAAAAAAATATTTACTATTCAAACGAATTAAATCCAAAAAAAGGACTTGAGCTAGCATGGTTTTTAATAAATTATTCACGGTAAACTATGTAAATTAGCAACAACGCCATCGTTTAGTTATAGCCAAAAGGCGTCTTGAGCGCATAATGTTTTACGAAATTGAATTGTGTATAAATGAATATTATAATTTGCATTTTATGTGCATAATTCGGTTTAGACAACATTATTTATATATATTAAATATAATGGTCAAATGTCTCGTCGAGATAAAAATATACCCACAAGGAAATTTTTTATATATTATGCAATATTTGATCGCATTTTGACAGTAATTTAGCGCCAGTACAAATTATACTAAGTTTTTACAGAGTTGGGATTTGGCCAGCAGTGAGATATATGCTGTTTCTTAACCTATACAAACTATAAAAGATTTCAAAGAATTCCGACAGAGAAAACTTATGTTCATTTTATATGTTGAAAACAGTGTCTTAAATTTCTTTTCGAGCATTTACATGTGTATACTTCATACACACATAAATGTTCATTCAGTAAACGAGAGTGTTGTAGTTTGAGGTATCGCGATTAGACGTTAAGCGAATCTTGCAATAAGTAGCTTACGTATTATTTCATACATATAAGATATAGTATAAAACTCTCATTTCGATTTATGCCTAACAATTTCTAATTATATTTCAATGCTTCATCAAGTGTCCCGACGCTTCATCAAGTGTCCGAACGCTTCGTATATTACGCTCGTAACAGTACGCACAAACAAATAAGGCTATCTATTTTTAAACAAATTATTGTGCAGTCATCGTATCATCACTCTCGCATGGACAGTAGCAGAAAAGGAAACCGAATAAAGAAAATAAAAAAAATGCAAACAAAAAGATTGTAAATGCGCGAAATTTGCGAATGTGTCACGCAGCTTTCGAAAGGTCAATACTTGATCGGCTTACAAAGAATGTGTTATATGGCCCGTATATTTTTTTGGAATGTTTAAACAGCGGAGTTAATGAGAACGAGCGATTTTATCTGAGATGACTTTTAAAAACGCTTGTTTTTCGTAAGGCGCCGACGGTGTCGCACGCGTCGTCCGTATCTCGATTCTGGATTATCGATAATCGATATAATAGACGCAAAAGCGGTAATTAATAGCTAATCGATACTTAACGCACTCGTCTCTAGTGCAGTCGGTTGGAGTGGCCCGAAGTGGAATATCGTGCGCAGGCGGCGTAGGAAAAGATAAAATGAGGGTAAGTCTTTAGCGAGTGGA